GGGGTCTCTTGTAGACAGCAAAACCTAGCTGGGTCTTACAGGCATCTTTCATTTAAAGAAAAAATATCGCAGATTTTGTGGATTAGGGCCAAATATTTTCAGTTTCGAGAAATATTAAAGTCATCTATGTTAATAGGATTCTATGATGTTCAAAACATTGATTTATAGACACTCAACATTTCTAAACCAATTTCCTTTATCTAATGGAACAGACTTATCACTGACAGAGAAAAGTGGCAGTCAAGTTTTCTAGATTGCCAGATGGCTTTGCAACTCCTAACCAAAAGTTCGGACCATTCTGTTTAATGAAAATAAAATGTTATTGCTTAATGAGTGTGTTTATCATGTAAATATGTAAATTTATTCACAAAACTCTGCCAGCCTGTTTATCACAAGATAAAAGTTGAAAATGATGTGCATTTCTATTGATATAAAGGTAAAAGCATCTCTGCAATCATTAGAAGATGAGAAAGTCACATTACAAAACAAGGTCGACATAGAGATAGAATGTCGACAGGAGATGGAAGGTAAGTTGGATATTGAAATGTTACATGTTATACTGTATACCGGGACATTTTTGCTACAGTATAACTTTTTGCCTTTTTCGCCCTTCTCGATGAGGGGAATTCATCAAGACAGCGAATTTTAGTACACAACTAAACTTCACTAGAACAACAAGGATTTTATTGGCAAAGGGAAAATATTTGACAAGGCAAACATTTCCTGGTATACAGTAAGACTTTTCTATTCTAATAACTGATAAATATTTTTGAAGTTTGAAGCAACATTTATACATAATTGAAATTGTGCTAATATTAATTTATCAATAAGTTTCCACTTGTAACTGATAAATATTTTATAAAATATGTGAATTTTTTAAAATATCCTTTGGAATCCCACAAAAATGTGAACAACACTATCTGAATCCAGTGGGCCCACTGTGTTTAATGGAAAACAGCAGTCTTGTTTTTGAAATGCACTTCTATTTTCTAGGATCTGTATATAGATTTCACTTGCAGATTTTTCATTATTACATTTATGCCTGATTCCAAGTAAATATCACCATGGCAAGCTTGTAAGACATGTTAAGTGCATAAACAACTAGAACACTTCAAATGAATTGAAAATGGCCGTTTTTATTAAAAACGACATGTTTATATAAAAACTTTATCTTTTAAAGTTTTTGTCCAATGTACTTAAAAGTCTTAGATGGGGTAAGAAAACGCCCCTTTAAGAAGTAATAATCATATTGAGAAGGAGGCAAGAAGGGGAGGTGGTGGGTAATAAAATTCACTTAGATATTTTTCAAAATTAGATCATGATGTAAAAAGAAGGTACACACCTTGTTCCTCCATCATCTTCAGCAGGCTAGTGACCTAGGGTCAGCTAGTGCACATACTTATATAGGGTGCTAAAAATAGCCACAAATTCATACGACTTTTGACCTTCTCACCTCCTACTAATGGTCAGCGTCCGCTCATATCAATCATAGATACAACAAATACAGTACTTTAACATTCATGATATTGAAACATAATAAAAAACAAAGTATTACTAGGACATTCATAAATTACATTAAACCAGGTTTAATTTGTATATGTACATGAAATGAATATATCCATGGCATATGGAATTCTGATTTTTTCATCAAATTCATTCTCAGTATATTATGAATGCATTGGATACTTATAATTTGAAGAGAATTGGAGAAATATCTTTTTTTGGAAATATATCTTTATAATGATAATAAAATATCACGTGTGTTATTACTCTTCCAGAACAAATTGCCAGCCTCCAAGCAAAACTGGAGAGTTTCCAAGCTGACAAAATGAAAGCTGATCGACAGAGTCATGATGCTCAGACCAAACTTAATGTTTTGACCCACTACTTCAAAGAGAAAGAGGTTCAATTACAACGGTAAGTATTATAAATGTGAAAGATACAATAGTAAAGTTAAGATCATGGAAATTCTGGGGAAAGTTCAGTTTTGGAAAAGTTATAAATCCAGGGAAGCAAAAATCATGGCAAAGATTGGGAGAGAAAACACATGTTCTGGCGAGTATTTATAGTCCTGGTAATGTGTGGGCAAATCAAATCTTTGAAAAGTCAAATCCTGGTAGAATATTGCAAATAATTTCATGATTAGTTTGATGTTGAAAGATAATCTCATGACAGTCATGTCAGAAAAGGTATTAGTTTAGTTAGTGAGAGATAGTATTAGTTAAGTTAAAGAAAGCTAAGTCCTGGTAGTATTATGGACAGTAAGGTGTTGGTAAGGCTGTAAAGCCAATATAATTATTAAGTTGAAGAAAGAAAGTCTTTGGTTGGTAAAGGTAAAGAGAGCAAAATCCTGGTAAATTTAATAAGAGTTAAGTATACAATAAGATTAGGAAGAAAACATCTGTTGCTAAACTGGAAATGTAAACTCTGTGAGAGCGATGATGCACATTTTTTAAATATCTGATAAATAGCTATTGATAAACTGAAACAAACTGTACACTCATAATCAATTCATGAATGCTTTTATTACCTAATTGTGTTTTCTGTCATTATAGAGAGTTAGGTGAGCAGGAAGCATTGAAGAAGCAGAATAAGAATAGACTGGAACATGCAGATGAGAGGAGTAAAATGGTGGAAGCAGAGTTAGAAACCTACAGGTACTGGTAGTGTAAAGTTTATTATCCCTCTGGTGGAGATTGGAGGTGATAATTATGCAATGTAACTGATGTGTGTTTGTCCATGCCGTCTCCATTTGCACACAATAACTTTAGTTCCCATATGTGCCTATCATATTGAAAATTCATAAACAGCTTCCTTACTGAAAGTGTGTTTCTGGTATTAAGGTCATAGATCAAGGTCACTGTAAGTATAAATAGAAAATTGTTTTCTGCACAATACCTTGAGTTACTGTTAAAGATAATACTTGATATCATACACAGCTTACTAAAACATGTACTGAAAATGCAATTGCTTTTCAGGTCCTTTGGTCAAAGGTTAAAATCAATGTTTCTATAACTTGAAAATTGGTGTCCCCATAAGAATTTGAGTCCTTGTGGGCAATTGAAGCTCAATTTTCTTACACTGCTACCTTTATATTGAAAGTGCTACTTGTGATTGGTTTTCAGGTTTGAAGTTCATAGATCAAGGACATTGTTACTATAAATAGAAAACAATATTTCTAAATAATGACTCTTAAATGGCCCACAACACTTCAACTTTGCACACTGCTTCCTTACTAAAGGTGCTGAAAGGCCGCTGTTCCTGTAATTAAAGCAAGCATTACATCTATTCTTACACTATAAAAATACCTCACTATTAAGAATCAAGTGATAACAACGTCCTTGACTTCAGCACTGAGTGGCTGGATAAGTGTCACTGAGGATAGATATGTTGGAGTTAGATACCTACAGGTACTACTGGTTCATTACTTATTTAGTAATGAGACAGTACAGGTAGTGTTAGATACCTACAGGTACTACTGGTTCATTACTTATTTAGTAATGAGACAGTACAGGTAGTGTTAGATACCTACAGGTACTACTGGTTCAATACTTATTTAGTAATGAGACAGTACAGGTAGTGTTAGATACCTACAGGTACTACTGGTTCAATACTTATTTAGTAATGAGACAGTACAGGTAGTGTTAGATACCTACAGGTACTACTGGTTCAATACTTATTTAGTAATGAGACAGTACAGGCAGAGTTAGATACCTACAGGTTCTACTGGTTCAATACTTTATTTAGTAATGAGACAGTACAGGTAGTGTTAGATACCTACAGGTCCTACTGGTTCAATACTTATTTAGTATTGAGACAATACAGGTAGGGTTAGATGCCTACAGGTACTACTGGTTCAACACTTATTTAGTATTGAGACACTACAGGTAGGGTTAGAACCCTACAGGTACTACTGGTTCAATACTTATTCAGTAATGACACAATACAGGTAGGGTTAGATACCTACAGGTACTACTGGTTCAATACTTATTCAGTAATGACACAATACAGGTAGGGTTAGATACCTACAGGTACTACTGGTTCAATACTTATTTAGTAATGAGACAATACAGGTAGTGTTAGATGCCTACAGATACTACTGGTTCAACACTTATTTAGTATTGAGACAATACAGGTAGGGTTAGATACCTACAGGTACTTCTGGTTCAATACTTATTTAGTAATGAGACAATACAGGTAGAGTTAGATACCTACAGGTACTACCAGTTCAATACTTATTTAGTATTAAGACAAAACAGGTAGGGTTAGATACCTACAGGTACTACTAGTTCAATACTTATTTAGTATTAAGACAAAACAGGTAGGGTTAGATACCTACAGGTACTACTGGTTCAATACTTAATATGTAGTATAAAGAGACAATTTAGGCAAATTAGGTTTCTGCAGGTTTATTTTAACATGGTCTTGTTTTAAACTGGTTCAAAACAAATTTAACACTATTTACATATTTTGGTTTTACTGTATTTTAGGAATAATCCTGGAGGGGGCCATGGGGTCGGGCCATTGACCCCTCAAAACTGAAATTAAGCCATCTGTGTATCAGTTTTCTTTGAATTTTACATAGAATGGTCCCTCTTAATTTGATGTTGACAAAAAATGCTGAAAATGGCCGAATGCTCTCAAATTCTAGGATTTCCGCTGTATCTTATATTTCCATAGGATGTAACTTTGACTTGAACCCTATTCTGATTTTTTTCACTTCAGGTCACAAGCTGAAGATTTAAAGAAGGAAATACTTTCAGCAGAGAGAGATTTTAGGTCTCAGGTAAGTCAATACATTGTCAAGTTGTTAACAGCCTTGTTTGCTAATAATTGTTTGTTTGTTAAGAATTGTTAAGGAAAGTAATAAAAACAAAGTTTGTTCCTTCGCCACATCTCGTTAGAAATTTTAATATAATCCTAATGTAGGGTTTCTGAACTGTTACTTATTTATATTTTAAGCAATTAAATTATTAGAAGATGAGAACAAAATTGTGTTGAACTTTAATATCCTTGATATTTTCAGATTGCAGCTAATGAAAAGAAAGCTCATGAAAATTGGGTAAGCATATAATGATCCAATTATTTCACTTAGACGAGAGTCAGTGATTAAGAGCATAATTTCACCTTTGCTAAAAAGAAATCTTCAATCTCTATTCCAACTGTTAGTACCCTTATTGAGACCATGCTGATGTTAAGCTTTGTGGTGTGAATGCCTTATTGATATGGTATCTATGGTGAAAAGGTTTTTAGCTCACCTGGCACGAAGTGCAAAGTGAGCTTATGCCGTGNCTCACTTTGATGCACCACATTCACAATAATGAATATAATTTGTCCATTGTTGTGATATCATTTCATAGGGAAGTGTATGATTCCAGTGTAATGTTTCACTGCTTTCTCTACACAGCTGGCGTCTCGGACAGCGGAGAGAGAACTGAAGGAGGCACGGCATGAGTCTACAGTGTTACGGCAGAAGTGAGTAATGCGATACCAAAACTCATTTTAATGGAATTTGGTTCTGTCTGATATTTAATGACAACCAGTATTTCTGATAACTTATAATTACTACTCTTTGCTATGAGAGAAAATAAGGTGATTATTTATATAAATTTTATCTTGCGGTTTTCATTGAATTTCTGATTTAACTTAAAAAAAACCACCTACATTTTATAATATCATATTACATCATATAGCGAAATGTTAGCACAAAATAACTCATGATGAAGTAGGTAAAGTGATTTGGAGTTAGACATGGTCTAATTTTAGACTGTCTCTCTATTTTTGACAGATTGACAGATCTTGAGAGGCGACTACACCATGGGCCAAGTGGGCTCCTACGGCCCCTCCCCACGCGGGGCATGCCACCACCAGGTAGATAATCTCAGTGGGGTGTGTTATTGGACATTCAATTATGCAGGGTTGTCTCTACATCCTTTTTAGATACACTTGAAGCATTTATTGGTTTGAGAAAAAAACATTTTGTGATGTTATTGTGTGATTTAAATGGATATGAGGAACATTGTGACCATTTAAAATTAACACATATCCATCATTTACCAAATATCCCTTAGGATCATGTCATCATTTAAGTACTAAGTGTTGGTAGCATTTTAAGAGTTGCTCTTCCTTGTCCACAGGCATGAATGGGCCACCTCCTCTACCCCCAGGAGTAGACAGACCAGGACCCCCGGGCATCAGGTAGGCTGTACTCACCTCCATCTCTATTTCTTGTCTAATAAAATCTGGCTATGTGTGAAGAAGACCAAACATTGTATGAATGAACATGCTCAATGTCAGACTAAACAGTTATTTGCACACAACTTTTGTGATATGATAAAAACTGGAAATACAAACTACTCTATGTGCTTTATAGATTGGTGCAATAATTTAACTCCTTTCTTTCCCATTCTGATATTGAATGTAGAGCTTTGTAATTTCTATCATTGTACAAATTACACCATCAAAATATACTGACAGGCTACGACATATTTTCTAAGGAAACCAATTATGCTTTTTGTCTAATAAACATGTTGTTTTCTATAAGGGACGGAGATTTCCTAGGCTCTCCAGGCCCTGAGCGGATGCCTCCACCTTCTATGCATGAACGGCGAATGCCCCCTCCCGGGATGATGGGCCCCAGGATGCCACCCCCTCCATTGGATGGCCGTTCTCCGCCCCCTTACGACCGAAGAGGCCCTCCTCCTCCAGACAGAAGGTCTCCACCTCCATATGAACGTGGGCTGAGGATGCCTCCTCCTCCTCATATGGATCGTAGATCCCCGGGCTATAGAATGCCTCCGCCAGACATGCTTCCTCGTATGAGGGGACCTCCTCCTCCACATCTACGTGGGGGGCCTACTTCTCCTCTCCCTCATGGTATGGGGCTCCCTCCTGATGGTAGACCTGGTAATCTATTTGCTTCCTCCTAGTCACACACTCAAGCAACCATTTCTTCAAAATACCAAACTATATTTGGTTTCTAAAAGTTAGTTTTTGCCATAAAATCTTGTTTTGGTATTCAGGGATCGACACTAACGGTAGACCGGAGGACCGGGTCCACCAAAATCTTGGACGGTCCACTTAATCTCCAAAGCTGGTAGACCGCCGGTCCACCACATATTACTTGATAAGTGTATATATATTTGAGAATGTTGTTCAGAAATATATTAATAAAGACTTTATTTACTTCGCCAGCGAGCCGTAAAATCCCATCTGGTTAAAAAATGTATCGTATTTTCGTGTTGTTAAACCGCTAAAAGTTGTCGTTATCATTCTTGGACGAGTGAAGTGCGTGAATCCGCTTGCGGTAAGTCGGAATCCTTTCAGCGTTTGAGTCGCTNTGCATCTAGCTTTTAAAAAATTTCGGGGGAGGACCCCCGTACCCCCCTCTTATTCAGGAGGGGGCTACCCCCTCCCGAACCCACCCCCCACTCCTCGCTACGCTCGTCGACCGGGGCGCATGGCGCCCCAGATCTGAGAATATTATTCAGGTCCACCAGAAATTAACCAGGTCCACCAGATCAAGAGAGCAGGTGGACCTGCGGTCCACCACCTATTAAAAGTTAGTGTCAACCCCTGGGTATATCTTGTTTTGTTTTGGTATATCTTGTTTTGGTATATAATTCAGTTCTAAAATAATTAAGATATGTACGGAAAGATTTTGTGGTAACAGATTATTAAACATTAAGCAGTAGCTACTTCTTAAGTGGGTCCTTTGTTTTTGACAAATTCAATTCTAGTAAAAACTGCAGCTTTATAGAAATGTTTTTTTTTTTTTTATATATGGTACTCGCATTAGTAAAAAATATTGATCAGTGGCAAAAACAAACTTAGTGAATCCTAAATCCTAGCTTCAGTTTTTTTGCAAGAAATCAGGGGTATCATGTTCAGTCTAAACAGATTTAATCAAAGAGGATGCTCTTAATAAGCAGGTACTTCTTACACTAACCCTGCTTAAAAGGGAACAAAGTGTAGAAGGAATATATAATATTCATGTTGTGCCTGTGTATGCTTTGTTTTCTTTGAGTGTTTCTCCAATATTGTTCACTTTAGGATCACCAAACTTGTTAATAGCTATATAAAGGGAAGATGGAGAGTCACATATATAGGCTAGGTCAATGTAACCTATAATTTGACCTCTGAACTCAATCAAAGAGAGAATATTTCTAGTGCATTTCTCTCATACTATTTCATGTGGGATTATCAATCCCACACCCTATCATTGTTATTTGCAGATCATGTACGAGATGGGTATTACAAATAATTATATTTACATTTGTATATACCTTTGTCAAGAACTTTGGTATTTTATAAATGACTTGGTAGTATACTTTTCTTGTGATAAAAAGGCTATAGGTCAATAAATTAAATAACACCATAGACCATATACCTTCTTTTGGTCAAAGTTGAAAATTACTTATTATTTAATTGGTAAAAGAAAATGGGTAAAATATTACCCAGTGTTTTTAATCAAGGTAATTAAAACAACTGTATTTTCCTACAATGTGATAATTCTAATGACTGAATCTTGTGTTAGAATTCAGTTTAATACTCGTGTAAAAGGTACAGTATTTACACTTTTATTTTGGGTGTTTTATTTCAAAATGCTAGTGTTACAAACATAAGATTGACCGTTAAATGCTGAGTAAAAGACAAAAAGTGACTTACTAAACGCAATATTGATCATTATGAGCTGAGGAAAAGACAACATGATTTACTAAAATGTTAGATTGATTATTAGGGGCTGAGGAAAAGACAAAATGTGACTTACCACATGTCAGACTGACTATTAGGGGTAGAGGAAAGGACAAAATGTGACTTACTAAATGAAATATTGACCATTAGGGCTGATGGAGGACAAAGTGGAACTTACCAATTGTTTGATAGACAATTAATTAGAGCTGAGGGAAGCCCTAGTAGAACATATCAACTATAAGACTGACTATTAGGGGCTTAGCATAACTTATCAACTGTATGACTGTCCATTCGGAATAAAGAAAGACTCTGAGATTACTATAAATCACTTGATACATTTTACTTTTCATGCCTTTTCAGTTCTTCGGTGTTTGTACTACAGGAGGCCTATATGGCAAGGGTATTGCTTCATTATCAGCCTGTAGAATTAAGTTCAGATGAGTCACAGTATGGTCACAAAGAGGAGGTTTATATTCGATATAAGATCTGAAAACTATTATGGAACAAATATATGTCACCCTGGTAAAACAATAGCCAATTTCTATCGATTCAGCTAGGGAGAATTTCTCTTAAGCTTATCCGTTAGAGCATGAGACTTATAAACCAGAAGTCCCGGGTTCGATTCCTGGTAGAGGCATTGACAAAATAATGATGTCTGTTACATACAAAAATTTGTATACCTGGTATGTAAACATTTTTCAGTGAAAATTTGAGGTCAATATGTCCGAAGTTTCAGTTTATAGATATTTCTTGACAATTTCTCACTCAAAATTTTAGTACAGGTATATTTATTGTTGAAATTACTACTATTAATTAAAAAAGTTCTATTAGTTATCATAATGGTAATTCTTTTTAATCATTGGTAATGGTGGTTAAGAGATGTATGTGTAGACTGTTGAGTGTAAATGCCCTTACAGACCTCTGTAATCTGCTGTACAATACTGGTGACAGTTGCATGTGGTTTGATTCCTCCTCCGCTGCAGGGCATTCTACTCCTTCACTTTGGACTCTGCTATTTCTGCAAAGACGACTTTGCCTGGAGACACTTACTTGTCTGACATTGAAAATATTGTATTTACAGGTCTACTGGTATAATTTTTTCACCAATTTTCTACATGTTCTTACCGGTACTTAAATAATCTTCTCGAATGTGGTTTTCAAGATGTGGAATAACTGTTCTCTTTCAGATCTACTGTTTTTGGTGGACATTGTATGTCCGTAGAGATTATAATATTTCTATAGAAAATTGGAAGAGTTAGAGAATAAGTTTGAATTAAACGCCCTCATTTATAAAAGTATAAATGAGACTGTTAAAAAGGGAGATCAGTAGAAATCCAATGCTACAGGAAGTATGTTTACAATATTTTCACAGATTTTCTAATTTTACTGTTCAATTGAAAAAGTTTGACCTAGTTTTAATAAATATGTTCTAGTTCCAAGATTATAGAAAATTAAGTTTAGATAGGTTAGACTGAACAAAAAAATTACATGTCAAATTATGATTTAGTATAACAGTTTGAAACTTTTTGACAAATATTTGTTTTGTTGTCCAGGCCCCGGAATCCCCCCTTACCACCCCCCTCCTCCAGGCCAAGATCCCGACCACAAGCCAAGACAACAAAGTCAGGTGTGAGACTTCATTAATATACCAGTGGACAGGGCTGTTCACTGCCTCAGAGGAGCATCTAGTTCCAGCATCATTTCTGTCAAATATAGGACTGAATAACTATATTAACAGTGGCTACATCAGAACGAGTTTAATATCTATAATTGGATGTGTAATGTTATAATTACATTAACGTTATTTAAACCACTGATAGATGAAATGTGATTTTTGCATAATAAGCATCTGTCCATTTCCGTGTTGTGATATAGTTTTATTTATCAGTAGAATGAGGTGTAGAAGACTGCGACCGTGTGAGACACACTGGGATTCTTACACTGGGCTGTTGCAATATTACCAAACTGTCTCGATCTCAGTTATACATAAATCCTGTTTGTACGGCGGTGTGACCAACCCGTTAAAGTGTATTCAGACTGCTGTTGAAACTATACAGGTCCCTCTACACTAGTAGGTGATGGAATGAATTAGCCATTTCCCATGTTTGTAACACATAGAGAGGTCTTGAATTGCACTCGCGTCATCATTTGTCAGGATTGTGTATGGCAACTTTAGGGGGATTAACCCTACTCTGAATCATGTGTAGATTCAGCCTACTACCAGGTACAATGTGACCTAACCCACAGCCAATCATGGTTTATAAACAGACCCAGCCTACTTAAAAGTTGGCTTATCCCACACTGAATCATGATTGTGGACAGATCAGTAGTTTTCTTAAGTAATTTGATTCTGTTCTTAAGTGTTATGTTTTCACATAAGTTTGAACTGAAGTTATGTTTTTAACTAGTATCTGATTTTGAAATGGCTAGTCGGAATAGATTGCAATTTTCAAAAATCAGAATTGGACAAAGTGAAGATGGAAAATGGCAAAAATAGAATAAAATGGTATGCTAAATGATAGGACGCTAATGTTGTACACGTCACATTATGTAGACATTCAGCATTAAATATACAGTAGTTGGTGATTATTGCTTGTTGGCTATAGTGCTAGAAATTCATTGTTGAAAAACTTTTTTTTTTTAATATTTGATATATAATATTGTTGTCACATCTTTGTTACTTGTCAATACAGAGGTTTTTACCTTTTGTCATTCCTACAAATATTAACTAACATTACTGTGTCTGTGAGAACAGCATTATTACAGGGTCAAGTACAATCTTGTAGGAGTTAGTGATCACATTCCTTTGTATAGAAATGGAGATGACATTGTGTGGGAGCTTATGACTTATTTAGAGCTGATTATTCTCAGTTGTGAAGGTTATTCTCAGTTGTGAAGGTTCTAAATTAAACTACCTGTTAAATGTAAAATAATTGCCATTTCAACTGTTTCTTTAAAGCTGAAAATAATTGTATTTTTTTGCGTAACATTACATATGTTAAAGGTATTTGCGACTCAATATCAGTACATGTATTGTAAAATGTTCCATCTATATTCAAGCTGGTACCTCTACATATAGGTATTTTATTGGGTCTACTGTAAAGTCTAGTCATTTGGTTACTATACTTAATTAAGTGCTATTTTGATATCAATAGTTTGAATATTGACAAAGTTAACCTCTCTATAAAGACCACCAAAGACAGTGCAAATAGTCTTAATATACAGGTGTCATAGACAGGTTATTATAAAAATAATGATACATATTTTTTTTAAGATGGTAGTTCTATACAGGTGATTCTGCATAATTCACTGAAATACTGATAGAATATCTGTCCACACAACTTTTGAAAAGGCTATTTGGTATACACATTGTATACGTATTTTGTATGAAAATTATATATATTTTGTATATACCTGTAAAAAAAAAGATGAAGTACCCTTCCTATTTGTCCCAAGGAATTCATGTTAAAAAAGCTCAAATATTTTATCCATTAAATTCGAATTTCTTTCAGTAAATAAATATACTTTTAAACAATATTTTACACCTTGGTATTATAAACAAATATACAGAAATGCGTAGAGTAATCTGTAAAATAAGTGTTCAGAGCTGGACTCTTTATGTTACATCTAGTATTCACACTGTATATACTGTACTATAGTATTGAATTACTGTCTGTGCCATCACATCACGCTACTGGATACATTTTAATTGTTAAGTGCTTTTATGTAAAATAAATATGCTTATGTATCTCTCAAAATATCTCTGTATACAGGTTGGAATTTGTCAAGTTAAATTTGCATTTATGTTGAAAAATACAAATTAATGTAGTAAGTGTACTCATTAAAATTTTGAAATTGTTTAGGAATCCAGTATTACAAATATGTTAAATTCTTACAATTCTTCATATCAGAAAAAGCACTGCTTTGAAAATGACATCTTTCATATGCTTCCAGTCTATAATTGCCAAAACTTGTGAAACCTAGTGTACATTATGATGTATGCATGTACATGTATTTGACATGGGTAATATTCATTATGCACCAACTATATAGCTACCATCAAGTCATATTATGCAATTTTGAACAATACGAGGTCAAATCCAATTTTGATGAACCAGTTCTTTATGTTGGGGAAAGTATCAGTATACTTGTACTGCAACAGTTTTGTGTTCATAGACCTTTTTACAGATTGTTGTTTTGAGTAAAAACAATTCTTGTGAAACCAATATTACCAAGATGTTCATTATCTACAACATGGTATTGCCATGCTCATGTCAACCTTAAGTGTAATTCAGGTCGGTTAGTTCTAATACACTTGCCTTTGGTGTCATTCTGCCCATGTGTCAACATTTAGCTTGTCTGCAGCTTCTTGACTGAAGCTTTAACCAGTTTGAAGCTCTTGACATCAATCTGTATAGCCCATTTGAAGGTCAAGGTCACATTAAAGGTCATGGTCACAGGTATATAATCTTAACATGATGATGAACAAGTTGTACATTTGAAATGTCCACAGGTTTCTGACTAAACGTTTTGACAAAATTTCATGAAACAATTATTCCTGACATCAATCTGGTGACCAAGCGAAGGTCAAGGACATGGCTACAAAATTAACATCATGAAATTTTCAACAAAGTTTCACAGACTCGTTCCATATTTTCGGAATTGGATACAAGCCCTATGTACAAGGATGTCTTGATTTTTTCAGTGTAGCCTCTAAAAGTCTGTATCTGCTACAGTTACGAAGAGAAACTTAGAGTGTTAGTATTTTTCCATTAAGTATAGAATAGTTCAGTTGTTCAATTATTATTCATTATTAATCAGATCTATTTGCAGATTTTTTAAAACCCATATCAAACCGAACACTTGACGACACAATGGTAAAATACACTGTTAAGGACTTTCTTAGTCTTTGTTGATATTAAGGCAAATCATGATGATGAAAAACAAAGTTGTAGTTTAAAATACCAAACCAATAGAAATATTGTTGTATATAAGTATGAGGACTACAAATTGAGTAGAAAGTGTATATTTTGTAATGAAGATGCATGTTTAATTTAAAGGTGAAGAGTACTTGGTTTTGTCCGAGCTAGAGGTGTACATAGACTGAATGACTGAGGTGAAGGAATGAGAGAGACGTATGTTATATCAGAGTTCACATGTTGATGATTGAAGTAGCAATGACTATTTATTTCTGTTTGTGAGGGTAAACAGGTGATTTTGTGTTGATATTCTTATGTCAAAAGAAAACAAGGTTGAATGAATAAGAATGATATTATGATACATTTAGTATTATTATTCTCAAAAAACAATTGAAAGAAATATAAAATAATTACAAAATGTTCTCAAAGTTATTTAGAATTCATAAAAATATGAATAAAATGTGAAAATAAAACTGATCTTATTATTGTCATTACCATAAAGTTTATGACACTCTTAAACTCTTAAGAAATTGGCAAACAGAAACTTAAAATAACGATTGAGAAAATTGTATTAGAAGAAATTAAACCATATCGCAGAGCATTATATGCCCATGATTTATTGGTGAAATGAATGAAACTTCGACAAAATTTAGATGTTAAGTTCACATATACTGGTAAAATATATTTAAGATGAAGGGATGCACATGTCATAAGGATGCCAAATTCAATTTAGGAGGGTGTGGTAAATTATTTCAATGATACTTGAACCAAAAAATTCAAAAATGGCATTTTCAAATTGTATGTACAGAATGAAGGCAAAGGGTCCTTAGATTTTGCCTTCAACCAGATTTGCTGTGACGCATCCTTTGGACCAGAGAGACCAAGAGTGAAACAGGCCCTCTGGGCATTTTGTTAATGAAGTGCAGACAATAATGTCTGGCACAATATATATCAACCATAGTAAAGCTCTATTCGAACAGGTGATGCATCATCTTCTGTAGAATAAGCGTAGGAGTCGATCGCAACAAGCTCAGGATAAGTTGAATCTTCTTTATTAGGTATGTCTACCGGTATCGCCCGAACAGTGGGCTTCTTCAGGACGATTTAATAACAAAATATGTGCCCTGAAGTACTAAAATTCTGGGCACATTTATATTGTGTATAGTGACGTAATACAGGTAACGTCACGTGATTTTATCTATTTATAACGTTCTAGAAAGTTCCATCACGGTTATTATTAGTAGATGAGCATTCTAGTCTATAGTATCAATACCTGAAATACTATCAATGTACATACAATTCATTGACTATTTTAAATATATATGTGTGTATAAATGTGTGTATATATATAGTTAGACATAAGTACAAGTTTCTTTTATCCCTAAATATTATTAAACTGAATTATAATGTTCAAGTTCATCCTGACAAACAGTGGATGTGGATAGAGACGTATATCCCAAAGTCTTGTAGTCTCTTATTGCGTAGTCACCTTCTGATGTGTTTGGCGTGGATGCCGTGTATTCACTCTCTGATAATTTTTTAATGCGTAATGCTTGCGAATACGGGATGCTATTTTTTGGTAACTTTGGTAGTGTAGATATAGAAACGCGTTAGTCGCTTTACTATACACCTTACAGCCGAGACTGCCGTCCGGTAGTAAGTAGATGGTTGTATCTAGGAAGTTAGCCTCCGTGTTGCTGATATCGAAGGTAAACTTGATCGTTGGGTGGTAAGAGTTCATGGCTTCACAGAAGGAGGTGAGTTCCTCTCTTGTATGTGTCCATATAAAGAAAATATCATCTATATATCTCAACCAGACCAATGGTATTTTTGCTTGTGTAGATAAAAATCTGGTTTCTATGTAGTCCATGAAAATAATTGCATAATTTGGTGCCATTTTCGTGCCCATGGCGGTGCCTAGCTTCTGTAAATAATAGTCTCTGTTGAACCTAAAACAGTTGTTCGTTAATATAAGTGCGATCATCCTGAGAACGATCCACGTGCTGGGTTTCGCATCTTGACCTCTCTTATCTAATGCCAACTTGGCGGCCCTAATACCTTCTGTGTGTGGAATAGATGTGTATAGAGCAGACACGTCCGCTGTACATAATATGCTATTGGTCGGTATTTTACCCATTTGTTTTATTTTCCGAAGGAAATCGGTGCTATCCTTCAAATATGACTCAGTGTTAACAACTAAGGGTTTGAGGTGGTAGTCCGCAAATTCTGATATTTTTTCCGTGCAGCTTTAAAGTGTGGTATTATGGAGGCTGGTAAGGTTTTGTTCTCTGTGACAGTATCTTCTCTCCTCCTTTTTGGCTCTTGATTACTGGAATGATCTGGTGGTTATCGTTAGGTAATTGGAACGAGAAATCTTTGTTAGTTGATTCATTCATGTTCGGTGACGGGAGGTGGTCCGGTGTTGGACTCGGGTATCCCTTCGGCGGATCCACTAGAGATGCAGGGGCTCTAGATAAAAGTTACAACATCGATCCAGGAGTAGAGCTTCTTCTGTAGAAGTGTTATCTACTGTTCATCTAGACAGCAATTGATACTAGTTTATTTCTAGAGTAAATCACTTCCAAGTCTCCATATGTGATATCCTCCATGGACATGTTGGTGGTGAACAGTCTATGGTGGTGAAAGTGAAAAGAGTTGCAGAGGGCTATAACTTTGGTAACAAGTAACACTATATACCCTTTTTTCATAATATATAAATCCTCGTAATTATGATTCCTATCACACCCACACTACATTTCTCAAAAATCTTGTTGAAAATTGTATGATTCTTATAGGCCAAAATGTTCACATTTTTGTTGCTGGTCACAATGGACTGAAAATTGTTAGCTAAAATTAACAGCAATTTTTGTATATATATAGCATTTTCATTTTTATGATGCCAAGATATCAAGTGTTGTTAGTTCAAGGTATCGTTAACCAATTTTTTTTTCCCCCATCACCATCATATAGTTAATCATTCATCCTTAAAAACATTATCATCACTATTTCTAAAGAAGCAAGTTTCTCAAATTTCACATGTTGTTTTTCATCGGTCCCTAGCTGTGCTTGTTTATTTTGAGACTGATAAAAAACATTAAGATGGCTGTTAGGTGGCCAACTTAGATTTTGACTGTTAAAGTTTCTTCTCTCTAATTTTCAGAATGTAGGGGATCTTTCTCATACCTAAGAATTTTGAACTTTTGATCAAAAGTTATTACATAATGCTTTCACTGCTGAAATGACTACAAAGATAATCCAACTGATAAAAGATTAAACTTGCTGAGAACTGTTGAAGATCTTCCAGAGATCCTCTGGGGGTTGATCTAGCTAGAAAACAGTTTAACATGACATTGGTTGTTGACTTTTTGACCCCAAATAGGTCAAATACACTATGTTTTTACTCAACAAATCACTGTGACATTAACCATAGCCTTTTGAATACAAAATTAAAGGGGATCCTTCTCACCCAAATTAGCTTTGATAAGGGTAGCTAAAACAGTCTGAAGACAAACGTGTCCCGACACAGGGAAGTTTGATTCTGGCATACCCTGTAAACTTTTCATTTGGCAGAAAAATCTTGAAAAATGCTAAAAAGAGAAGTACTGTGCTATTGTTTCTCTTTTTACAATTTGAATTGGTGACTGAATAAGAAGAAAATTCATATAAAATACACAATAGCATTTAAAGTATGAAATAAATTATAATTAAAGTTTGTACATAATTAACATACATTTTTATGTAACAATAACGATTGTGGACTTGGCTACACCCTGTAAGCATGCTTTAATACCAGTTCCTGGTTCTCTTCATGGGAATGTCTGTAGCAGTCGACCACCAGTAGGTACCTGTGTCCTACACACTGTGTGGCAGACTGGAGTAGTGTAGGGAGATCTGGTAGCTTCTGTGGAGGGTAGGACAGCCAGTGGATGGAAGGATGCGACATACACAATAATTCTGACATGGAACCTCCACATCTGTCAGCCATAGGTCTCCAGATCGTGTTCAATAAAATATGGGAATTTAGTCCTGTCCAAGTCAAAATGAAACATTCTGGAATTTCTGAAATACAAAGACAGGTTTCCTTGAATAAATCTCAACTATTTTTGTACACTGATTATCCGAGGAACTTGGCAAAATCTCATCAAATATCTGGTATGCCCATTTTCCAATTCAGTGTTCATACAAGGCTCAAATATTAATCGCCCTGCATACCCACAGTACTCACAGAAAAGGGGCCTCACTGATCAACCCACATATACCTTCAGTTTAATAGATCTTTAGACTGTAGTTTATACTATTTCCAGACCCCCTTACCAAGGTTAAGATCACTCTTAAAGGTAACAATTAAAATGACTGGATTTTATCTCATAAAATGATGTTAAATGCATATCACTGATATTAATCACTCTTTTTGGCCAGATGTTCACATGCAGTGGAGGGGCAGGGGGTCAACATGATTATACTTCAAGAGTTGCTGAATGAAATCAGTCTCATAAACGTAATAAATTGATACATTTAGTAGCCATAAGTAAAGATGGATGTTTGAGAAGATTTAAAAAACCCAGGTACAAACCTTTGTCTCGACATTGCCTCTCTGTTTCTGAAGAATGCCCTGCTGTATTTGAAGAATGCCCAGCTGTATTTGAAGAATTTCCTGCTGTATTTGAAGAATGCCCTGCTGTATTTGAAGAATTTCCTGCTGTATTTGAAGAATGCCCTGCTGTATTTGAAGAATGCCCTGCTGTATTTGAAGAATTTCCTGCTGTATTTGAAGAATTTCCTGCTGTATTTGAAGAATGCCCTGCTGTATTTGAAGAATTTCCTGCTGTATTTGAAGAATGCCCTGCTGTATTTGATCTGTATTCTGTGGTATCTGAGGAATATCCCGGTGTGTTTGAACTGTGCCCTGTTGTATCTGAGTGTTGTTGCTCCTCTGTTGACAGCTCCCCTGAAGGGAACATGAGCTTCTGTCTGAGCCTGGACCGGTCAGCTGGGCTGTAGGACACAGGAAAGGTGTGTATCAACTGTTGTGGCTTCACTACCCCAATACTCTCCATCTGGTCAGTCAGGGCATGAGTCTCTCTGTCTACAACCACCACTTCCTGTTCACAAAGCGGTGTCTTTTCTGCCTTGGATATCTTTTTTCCTCTTGATTTCCGTCTATATGTTTCTGGTGCTGCACATCTAAAATTGAATTAAAATAAAATCACTTTGTATGTTTTAGCTCAATTAGGGCAAAGTTTAAATAAAATCAATAATTGGTACATGTATTATACTTTGAATAACTTTGAAATTGTAGCAAAAAAATCATTCAAACTAGAACACTGACAGGTCAGTAAGGGCCCCGTCTTGTGGCAATATATCCCCCATAATCATCAAGAAGCAATCTGCCCATATAGCTGAGCTTGACGTTTGACATTTGGACTTCAAAAAGAATCGCAAGGAAGCAAAATTTACATTTTACATGTCCTTTGATGTGAGGTGAGTCTTGTTTCCTTCCACCTCCATATTTACTGGGCTAACAGAAATGTAAATACCGGTGCGATACTCATTTGTTAGCTTTGATTTGTTTTATTTCACCTTTAATACCTCCTCCATCAAGAGCCAGGGTCAAAGTCAGAGATCCACTTTGTCTTTGACCTTTGGACCCAAATGACATTGACCATTAATCCAGTGACCCTGATTTTTGGTCAGTTGACTTATTCTTTTTTATTCTGACCAACTTTGCTTCTTAATATCATAACAAAATGTTCATCAGTGAAAAATATAAAAATTGGCCTTGACCCTTTGGACCTCGTTACCTGGACCTAAGGTCAGTAGACTCTGTGCTCAGTTCTGAACAACATTGCTTCATAATGTCATAACAAAATGTTCANGTAACAAAATGTTCATCAGGGAAAAGGTACAATATTTAAACTTCACCTTTGACCCAGTGACCTTGACCTTTGGTCAATTGACTCCTTGTTTAATTCTGAGCAACACTACTTGAAAGTGTCATAGCGAAATGTTCACCAGTGAAAAGATACAAAATTTAACCTTGACCTTTGACCCAATGACCTTGACATTTGGTCAGTTGACTCCTTGTTTAATTTTGATTAACTTTGCTTCATCATGTAAATTAAAATGTTCATCAGTGAAAAGATGCAAAGTTTGACCTTGACCATTGAATCTAATGACCTTGACCTTTGACCTTGACTTTTTTCCTCAATGTGTATTTTTGTGAACTGAACATCTTGACCAAGTTTCATGTACATCGGTCAATAAATACCAAAGTTATCAGCCAGGAACAAAATTTGTGGACGGACAGACAGACAGACAGAGTGATTACTATTGGGCACCCGTATCTCCGATACGGGGCCCTAACTAGGATTCTGGTATTGTGTACGTATTGACCTCATGACCATTTAGGACTGCACATCTACAATAAAGTGTACATTCGCGTATCCGGTTGAAACGGTTGAACCTGTAAAGAAAACGACAGGCACAGATTTGGACCGAGGCTGACCTCAGGAAAAGTTGGTACGTGTAGATTGAGGGGTCCAGACGTACCTGACAGAAACTAAAATGCTGACTATTGCCAATTTGCGTTATTTCTTTCTTAAACAATGTCAAGTCACATGTAATTTTTAAGATACGTTATGTAATTTAGTGGACGCATGAGAGAAGGGCATAATATTCTTGATACATTGTTTTTTATTCTCCGAAACTGGATTTTTAGCTCTGCTTATAGAACGGTTCAAGTGTGTTCGTTTATCGTGGAAAATTTCTGTGCCTCACGTACCGTTTCAACCGGGATATGCGAATGTAGCCTTAATTTAAACTGGAATTCTGGCACTTATCTTACTATCAAATACCTTTAAAAAATACATGACAAATTTGAGTTGAATGATAATTTTGGAAGGGACTTTGATAGTTACTAAATAATAAAACAAATAAATAAATGGGGGAGAAACAATGATATGTGCACTGTGCAGTACATTAAGAGACATTGTGATGTGTATAACAAGATTTCTTAGACGTCTAACACCAAACATTACCTGACAGTTGGAGAGTGGATCAGTTTAGCCATGACCATGACTGCTTGTACAAACAGATGTCTAACACCAACCATTACCTGACAGTTGGAGAGTGGATCAGTTTAGCTGAGACCCTGACTGCTTGTACAAACAGATGTCTAACACCAACCATTACCTGACAGTTGGAGAGTGGATCAGTTTAGCCATGACCATGACTGCTTGTACAAACAGATGTCTAACACCAAACATTACCTGACAGTTGGAGAGCGGATCAGTTTAGCCGAGACCATGACTGCTTGTACAAACAGGTGTCTAACACCAAACATTACCTGACAGTTGGAGAGCGGATCAGTTTAGCCGAGACCATGACTGCTTGTACAAACAGATGTCTAACACCAAACATTACCTGACAGTTGGAGAGCGGATCAGTTTAGCCGAGACCATGACTGCTTGTACAAACAGCTGTCTAAGACCAAACATTAACTGACCGTTGGAGAGTGGATCAGTTTAGCCGAGACCATGACTACTTGTACAAACAGATGTCTAACACCAAACATTACCTGACAGTTGGAGAGCGGATCAGTTTAGCCGAGACCATGACTGCTTGTACAAAAAGATGTCTAACACCAAACATTACCTGACAGTTGGAGAGTGGACCAGTTTAGCCGAGACCCTGACTGCTTGTACAAAAAGATGTCTAACACCAAACATTACCTGACAGTTGGAGAGCGGATCAGTTTAGCCGAGACCATGACTGCTTGTACAAAAAGATGTCTAACACCAAACATGACCTGACAGTTGGAGAGTGGATCAGTTTAGCCGAGACCCTGACTGCTTGTACAAACAGATGTCTAACACCAACCATTACCTGACAGTTGGAGAGTGGATCAGTTTAGCCGAGCCCATGACTGCTTGTACAAACAGATGTCTAACACCAAACACTACCTGACAGTTGGAGAGTGGATCAGTTTAGCCGAGACCATGACTGCTTGTACAAAAAGATGTCTAACACCAAACATGACCTGACAGTTGGAGAGTGGATCAGTTTAGCCGAGCCCATGACTGCTTGTACAAACAGATGTCTAACACCAACCATTACCTGACAGTTGGAGAGTGGATCAGTTTAGCCGAGACCATGACTGCTTGTACAAACAGGCGTTTGTGTTGTCTATAACTAAGCCCTATCAATTCTCTCTTCCAATCATCACTAGGAACAATCTGGAAAATGAAATAGCAACAATTACTTAACTGAAACAGAATAGATCAGAATCAAATTTCATCAAATGATTTATTATAATGTAATAAGTTAGACAATATTTGTTTTGCTATTAATGAAGTAGTTGGCTTTTATAAAAGTTATAAAATCTGACAGATAATTAAAAATTCAAACTGTTTACATATAGTGGTAAGATTACAACCTTGAGATCAGTGTACATATCTTGGAGGGCAGCCAGTCCTATGGGGAGACAAGGGTAGGAAAAGTATCCTTCAACCATAGAGAGTTCTACTTCCCTTGTACCCTCACGTGATTGCGACCAGGCTAGTACACGCGTTATGGCAGATTCTTGTCTGGAGTGTCTCTCTTCACTCCCTTTTATACTCAACTGAAAATAAAGAAACCAATGTGACATGGTATCGAATATTAGTGGGAAAACAAACAGTGTCGTAAACTGTGTGTGGGCCGATGGAAACAAATGATATTGGAGAAAGGCTGTCATATCATCAACTGTATGTAGCAACGAACAGTGTCTTATGCCATAAGCACTCAGTGGAGAAAGAATACTCTATATCAATACAGGGTAACTGTATGTGGAGAAACAGTGTCATGGCATCAACTGTTAGTGGAGAAATAGTATCATACATCATGAACAGTTTGTTGAGACATTAAGTGTCATAGATCATGAACTGTTAATTGAGGAACAAACAGAGTCATATGTAATAAACTGATAGTGGAGGAACAAAGTTTTTACACGATTTCAGAAGACATCAACTCTTAATGAAGAATAAAGAGAGTATCATACAGCATCAACAAATTCTGGCAAAAACCAAATTGTCATCAATGGTTCGTAGAGCCAGGTGGGTAACAGACTTACCTGGGTTCAGGTAAGGTACACCTGTCGGTGACAGGTAGACTCAGTCAGGTGGGTTACTGACTTACCTGGGTGTTGATGGTTGAGGTAAGGTACACATGTCGGTGACAGGTAGACTCAGTCAGGTGGGTTACTGACTTACCTGGGTGTTGATGGTTGAGGTAAGGTACACATGTCGGTGACAGGTAGACTCAGTCAGGTGGGTTACAGACTTACCTGGGTGTTAATGGTTTAGGTGAGGTACACCTGTCGGTGACAGGTAGACTCAGTCAGGCGGGTTACACACTTACCTGGGTGTTAATGGTTGAGGTGAGGTACACCTGTTGGTGACAGGTAGACTCAGTCAGGCGGGTTACACACTTACCTGGGTGTTAATGGTTGAGGTGAGGTACCCCTGTCGGTGACAGGTAGACTCAGTCAGGTGGGTTACTGACTTACCTGGGTGTTGATGGTTGAGGTAAGGTACACATGTCGGTGACAGGTAGACTCAGTCAGGTGGGTTACAGAGTTACCTGGGTGTTGATGGTTGAGGTAAGGTACACATGTCGGTGACAGGTAGACTCAGTCAGGTGGGTTACAGACTTGCCTGGGTGTTGATGGTTGAGGTAAGGTACACATGTCGGTGACAGGTAGACTCAGTCAGGTGGGTTACAGACTTACCTGGGTGTTGATGTTTGAGGTAAGGTACACCTGTCGGTGACAGGTAGACTCAGTCAGGCGGGGTACAGACTTACCTGGGTGTTAATGGTTGAGGGGAGGTACACCTGTCGGGGACAGGTAGACTCAGTCAGGCGGGTTACAGACTTGCCTGGGTGTTAATGGTTGAGGTGAGGTACACCTGTTGGTGACAGGTAGACTCAGTCAGGCGGGTTACACACTTACCTGGGTGTTAATGGTTGAGGTGAGGTACCCCTGTCGGTGACAGGTAGACTCAGTCAGGCGAGTTACAGACTTACCTGGGTGTTAATGGTTGAGGGGAGGTACACCTGTCGGTGACAGGTAGACTCAGTCAGGCGGGTAACAGACTTACCTGGGTGTTAATGGTTGAGGTGAAGTACACCTGTCGGTGACAGGTAGACTCAGTCAGGCGGGTTACAGACTTACCTGGGTGTTAATGGTTGAGGTGAGGTACACCTGTCGGTGACAGGTAGACTCAGTCAGGTAAGATGTGTTGTTGATCACCCTCATGTGTCTACACACCAGCACCACACCAGGTCTTACTTCAGGACCAATCAAAGACTACAAATCCAAATCAAATCAAATTGAGCAGTGATTTAACATTTATACCATGACAAACCTATATTATAGTACATTACACAGATTTTCTTACAGTATAATTCTGAATCTGCCTGTGTGTGCAAATTTTCTCCTAATCAGACTATTTCACGGGGATTAAATTCCACTCAACAGCACCTAGTTAAAATTCCAAAGTCACTGGAAACATCCATATAATGTAATAGGAAGATTCGGTCTTCAAGTAAGTCAGACATGCACAGTGCAACAGTATAGTCATAGTTTTGTTTACTTTTCAATAAGACCATGTACATGTACATCGGAATGCAGGTTGTTTTTTAATTATTGTTTAAAAAAAATGACCAATTCGACAGGCTGATAGGCAGATAGCTGTCTTTTGAAGATTACGGAGGAGCAATATCCAATTCAAAGCCAGTCTAATTTACCTTTACACAACCAAGAGATTCTTTTGAACATCAAAGGATCAAATTAATCTCCTCATTTCATCCACAAGGTGCACAGGGCGCACATTGAGTCTAAGAATTTGTAATGACGTCACATATTCCGGGGGTGCAGAGAGCGTAAGTGAGCGTTTCCGACGTCAAATGAGGCTTCGCGACTAGAATACCCTTGAGTATCGAGGATAGGATTTACCAAGATATTTTTTCATGTCTGTATTTCAAGATATTTGCTTTAATACATGTCTGTCCATGACCAGGATATTCTACCTTAAGGGTTAAGAATTGTGAGTAAAATTCTTGGCAAAGCCCCTAGTATTATTCCAATTCAAAACCCACTTGGTACAAATCTACACACATATGAAAAAAAAAATTTTAAACAGTAAAGAATATTGTAATATCTCTAGTATAAAATTGGTCATTACTGTGATTCAAAAGTTTTCAATTTCAAAATGTACCATTTATGAGGAATACAATAATTTGCTTACCTCTGCTGCTCTGAACATTTGTACTATGAATGTCTTTTTGCTGGAGGCGTCCTTCAGGTGTAGCCAACGACGAACCCAGAAACCCCCACTGTCTAGGCCAGCTTTGTCTAAAACACAAACACAACCCACTCATCACAGTTTTAGTGAATATATTTCAAAATTATAAAAATGCCTTTCTTCCCTGAATTCTTACAAATTCTCTCAAAAAAGTGTATTTACAGTACATTATTCCTTGTGTTCATTTAAACATTCAAAAGGTTATTATACAGTTGCAAATTTCTAATAATACATTTACATATACTCAATGTGTTTGGAAATATTTTTAATTGTAAACAAACCTTTTTAATCAAAGGAATGATGTCCTACTCTTACTCATTCATGAATATTTATCTTAGAAAGAATCCAAACAACTTTATACATTTTGTAACATATTTTATGTTTCAGCCTCTCTACAGGAGTCCCTTTTCATTGAAAAATGTAATTCACATGTGCTTGTTCAATGATAGTATGTTATTGTGTAGTATGCTCCCTTTTTATTACGTTCAGTGAACATGTGTACTTCATTAGTTACTGTGGCGATCACACTAAGTCAGAAGGTTCAGCAATTTATGCCCAATATAGACCACACAACAAGAATTACTGATTGGTCACACTTAGGCTACATTCGCTTATCCCGGTTCAAACGGTACGTGTGACACAGAAATATTCCGCGATAAACGAACGCACTTGGACCGTTCTATAAGCAGAGCTTAAAACGCAGTTTTGGAGAATAAATAATAATGTATTAAGAATATTATGCCCTTCTTTCATGCGTCCACTGAATTACATAAGGTATCTTAAAAACTACATGTGGCTTGACATTATTTTAGAAAGAAATAACGCAAACTAGCAATAACCAGCATTTATAGTTTCGGTCAGGTATGTCTGGACCCCCAATCTACATGTGCCAAATTTTCCTGAGGTCAGCCTTGGTCCAGATCTGTGCCTGTTGTGATAGTGCTCCATTTATTTAGGTAACAAAGTACACTTAAATTGCTTTCACAAAGGATTTTAAAGATCCTGCAATTATTTCTGCCATCGTTTGATAAAAATATGGCTTTACCACAATTGCTCTAATTTGTTATAAGATTCTGCACATAAAACACTTTACATAGGTCATGCAGCTAGCATTAATGAATGGCCACACTAACTTGTAATAAGGTCTCGCTCGTAACGTCCCACGTAGGTCACACAGCCCACAATATCACAGATGTAGTTGTCTGGAATGGATCTGCAAATCAAAACGGTGGTTATATATAATTAGGTACATGTTAGGAAAAATAAAACATCTCTTATTAGTAATAAGAGATGTTTTATTTAAATGTTTTTGTGTTAATTTTTATAAAGTAATTTATTTTATAAATATTCACACTAAAACATTTTGCCAGCAGACTTAATATTGTTGTTTTATCAGTTCATACTACAAAATGCTGAAATATGACAGATGTTCTTGGGTATATCTTTTAAGAATGCCAATAAGTGTTTATTCCCCCCCCCCCTTTTTTTTTATCAAATAGCTCTAGATACTTTTAGAATGAGTGGTTTTATCAACACCTATTAAAAGTTGTCAATATTAGGTATATATACTATGAGCTGACTGATTGACTGTTTAATCCCATTGCAGCATAGTTATGGTCTTAGAGACGGCAACATAATTTAGCTGACTTGATTGTGAACCGTGACAATAGTCTGGATATAAATAAGAAAAAATCCCCATTTTCAGTGTGATGAGAACCTATCAGAACTACATATTTATTGTTAGCTTTATTTACCCTAGCTGTTTGCGTGTGACAAAGTTATACTCCAGATCTGGGAGACGAATGTTTTTAGGTACAGCCGACAAAGCCAGTATCTGTATCTCACTTCGGGGATGGTGTGGGTTCATGTTGAGGTCGATGTCGTAATACTGTAAGTTTTTGGGTACCTGGATCTCCCGACCACTGCTGTAGTAGCTCTTCTTCACTGTGAATCTCCTAATCAATATCACACAGCCTTCCTGCAACCTTCACAAACACAGGACAAAAGATATATAACAAAGCTAGTAAACTGTATTGTTTCTACATGAACAGAGAGATAAAACAGATTCAATTAAGCATTTACTTTCAGATAGCATTCAGTCATAGTAAATGTGAATGCCATTTAAATACGAATATCAAATGGAATTCAAATAATCTATCTGAACAATTCTTCAATTATATCCTGAACAAATCTTTAATAGTATTCTGAATAACCACTATAAATAGTGTTCTGAATAACCACTATAAATAGTATTCTGAATAACCACTATAAATAGTGTTCAGAATAACCACTATAAATAGTGTTCTGAATAACCACTATAAATAGTGTTCTGAATAACCACTATAAATAGTGTTCTGAATAACCACTATAAATAGTATTCTGAATAACCACTATAAATAGTATTCTGAATAACCACTATAAATAGTATTCTGACAAATAGTTGTAAGTGTTTTGCACAAAGCTTTGATAAAAAAATTACAAACATTTGATAGTACATTTGTATTCTAAACAAACTTTCATATTTTCATAACACGCATTGGGAAATATTTTCACAAACCATTGGTAGCTATCTGTATAAACCTGAAGTGGTATGCTGCACAAACTTTGGGCGGTATTCTGAACCTAATTGGCAGTATTCTGTATAAACTTTTAAGTTATATTCAGCATATACTTTCAGTGGTAGGCTGCAAAACCTTTTGAAAGAATTCTGTAAAAACCAACTGCAGTGTTCTGTACAAACCTTTGATAATGTTCTGTACATAGAGCATTCCATAAAACCATATTACACACTCCAGTCTCATCACAAACACTAAAATGGGCCTGAAACATAGAAAGCATGTCATAAATTAATAAAGCAGTTTCAACATTGTTATAACTGTTACCTTGTAAGGCACCACATTTTTTCATTTTATACCTGATTTTTTGTATCTAAATTTGTTCTGATGCTGATTAAGGGTCGAAACATCTGAAGAGGGCTGGCCATCACCTGATGACGTCAAATGAGGCTTCGCGACTAGAATGACAGCAGTGACGGACTACAAGTCAAGGATGTCACAAGATGCAGAATCACCATCATCTGTAAGCAATCATCACACACCTCATGTGTCGAAATTGGTCAATGTTAACTTGGATTAAAGCCGTTATATCCAGCACGACGTTGTCATGGTCATCTTTACCTATTGATATATCTAAGTATATTTATAGTCACATGAATTTGATGTTAAATGCTGATTACTATGGTATCAATATTTTACGGTTAAAACAACATACAGTTAAACCCCACTTCGTCAAACTCGGTTTATTCCAATAACCCTCATTCGTCGTACAGTTAGTTTGGTTCCGACCGAGTTGGTACATATTCTTTGTAAAGTAACCCCGGATTAGTCGAACCGCTATTCCTCAAACACCCCATATTCCTCGAACAAAAATTTGTCCCCGACACAACATTGTCATAGTGTAAATCCTAACTATTCGTCGAACAGGTGTGATCACCTGTCACGCCTGACAGATATTTTACCTGTGTATCACAGGTACAGGCACTGCTGCCGGCATGTCTCGAGGCACAGGCTGCGGTCCGCGCTCATCGTGCTTATACAGGTGTCTGCTGGACGTCAGATAATTAAAGGATTAACGGCAGTATCATTAAGTAACTGGACCGTTACCCTGTTGTAGCTGCATTATCATTTTTCGTGCATATTATTTTTTCCAGATGATGTTTTGACATCGATGATTTGGTGGAAGTGTTAATTCACTCGGTGTGTAAAACCATATTTTGGTATGGCAATATAAGCGGAATTCACATAGCGGAATCCGACCAAATTTAAAGATATTCAAACTTGATTAAGTCGTGATTGTTAATTTCGTTTTCAATCAACATTGTGATTACAAGGATTCAAGATTTTCTTCATTTCATAATGATTGAAGAGTTCCTCTTGTTTTGATATTTCTTAAACTTAACGCAGACGATTACAGTATGGCGGACTATGTCAAAACGATAAGTACACTATACATGCAGCTTTTTAATTTTATTTATTTTCTTCATACCGGTGGCTATATGTTTTTATTGTTAAGCTATTTTAGATCTCATAAAATTCTGTCATCTTGATTAAACTTCCTTTTTCTTCTATCATCTACTATTCGCGATAGTTGCATTGCTCATACTGTCTGTTGTCCCACCTATTAAAAAAATGACGATGTCGGTCGAACCTCGGATTCGTCGAATACCATGTATTCCTTGAACTATTGATTTGGATCCTATGAGTTCGAGTAAACAGGGTTTCACTGTACATATTATCATGCCTAGAATAAAAAAATTGCTATGTCAATTCTGATACACTATATACCTGGAAATTTTCGTCCTGTCAAACCTTCGCCCTTCTCCTGTGACATCCAAATTAGCCCAGTGTTAATTTCGCCTTTCACATTTAATTACTACGTAAATTATGTTGTTGCCTAACATTTTATGTAATGATAATTTCACCCGAATTCCAGAGGGTGAAAAGCGCAAAAAAATCCCAGTATACAGTAGTAAAAAGACTTCAAACTTGTAAGATGTATAACAGAAGTGAATACATATCGTTCTAAGGGTACAAACTAGATTGGCTCAAATAGCTGATGACTTTGTAAATGAACACTTCTCACAATGAGGTCATACCTGGAAAGGCCACTTCTCTGCCTTGCATGGCTTAGCGTAGTGGAGTAACCGACATTTACCTACAACCTTAACAATCATGTGAGGGTTGATGGTTTTAACATCTGTCCACTTCTTTGCAATTTCTTTCACTTTGTAGATATCCTGTGCTCGAACTCCTCCAATACTTTTAGACTCTTCATCTACGGAGAAAAACGATCATTCACCTTGTCATAGTAAACAAAAGATGTTTTATCGTTACACTGCTCAAAGACAGTTTCAAATAGTCAAGTAACAGGTAAAAAGGCACCCTTCAACTTGATGCTTAAATCCCAAAAGGTCACTTTCCTTCTTTGCTTTAGTAATCCTTAGGTATATTGACATTATTTGAGGTAAATGACTTGTGTACATATATATATCACATCTGATCACATGTTTTATACCTACTTAATATCCTTACAAACATGTGGTTAACCTTCTCAAGGCTACACTCCAACACAATTATGAGCTTTCATCGAGATTAATGAAGATGTTTTGAATTAATTAATCTGTGGCCCTATATTTCATGTTCTTTTAATTCATTTTTACCTTGTTCTACCCCTGTTCCCTTTATTGAATATTGAGTATATTTGAGCTGGGTGGAACTGATCAGTTATTTTGCTCTTTACCTTCTGAACTTAATTAAATTTTGTTATATTTTCTTTTCTTCAACAAATAACTCAAAAGAGAGAGATTCTTTAAATTATGTATATACGTACTTGTACCAGCTAGTTTCCATTGTGGTCCAGTTATCTCTATACTTGACCAAAGATCCAGATAATAGCCACGCGAGGAAGTGAGGGGCAGAGCCTTGGTCTCATTAGCACCACAGTCAGGACACCAGGTAAGATCGGCCATATCTGTAACAAATGATACAATAATAACTCACTCTACAAGGATTTATGATCTAACCAGGCGATGTATTTTTGGTACATGTACATGAAAGTAAAACAGAGAAAAACCTTAGGAATGTGAATATTTCTGGACTGATCACAGGTTCTGGATGAACAAGGTTCACAGGTATTTCCGTTAATAAATCTAATACGTATACATGTACCATAAAGTAAGGCTCTGTAAGTTCTATCAAAGATAGTGTTATTCACAAGAAGTTAATCTGATAAGGCAGATATATATTATGGCCACAAGAGAAATCACTGATTTACCCAATTTACCTGAGCGCACAACTTTACTAGACCATTAACGTGTCAAGAACATATCTTGAAATGTTGCTGTAAGTATTCTCTGTGACAACTTATACATTATGTTACCACTATATGTCAATACAGTTATATACAATTACCTGCTGGTAAAAATGATAAACATGGTTTTGTTGCCATGTTGATGCTGTGCAATACAACTATACTGCTTCCTGACAAACTGGTCTCATCATAACGCACTGTACATTTTGTGAAAAGTACAGAACAGCCTTCTCTCAACTGAAATTAAAAAAATTACATACTTATATACACATAGAATTTGATGCAGTAGTTAGTTTTCAAACATTGAATATAAGTAGCTCATTGAATATTTATGCAAATAATTTATTTGGACAAATTTGTAGCCCTTAAACCCAGCAAGTTAAGGAGTACAGGCCCAACAGTTCCTGAGAAGAAGTCTGATGAAGTTTTAACAGTTATTATTTATGTGATGTCAAATGTGGATCAAGGTCATTCATACAGTTTTCAATCGAGTTAGCTATCTTTAAGCCATATATCAGCACTTTATGTCCAATTGTTCACTAAAAACAAGAGGTCCAGAGGGCCTGTATTGCTCACCTGTTTCTTTTGTTACATGCAACTGACATATAGGTAACTTAAGACCAAATTTGGTAACTAGAACACAAGACATCTTAACATCTCTTAATGGTTCTGAAGATTTTGTTGTTTGAAATTTGAAATTTCAATTTTAAAGCTTTTAATCCATATTGACCTTTGACTCCCGACTTTCACTTAAAATTGGCCTTTGACCTCATTATGGTAATAAAGAAAACAATTCACACAGCTGGTCTACATAACATACCCAAGTATCATGACTCTAGTCCAAATGGTTCTTAGGATATTGTTGTTTGAATTTTTTAACATATTTGACCTCAGTGACCTTGAAAGTAGGTCAAGGTCGTTTTTTTTTTGTTTTTTTTTATAGCACTCCATCCCAGGTACCTACTGCCCAAATAGCATGACCCTGGGCCTAATGGAACTTGAGAAGAAGATTGTTAAAGCCTTTGACCCATGTTGACATTTGACCCCCAACTAGCATTTAAAGTTGACCTTTGACCTCATAACTGTAACTAAGAAAAATAATCGCACTGCTGGTCTACATAACATACCCAAGTACAATGACTCTAGTTCTAATGATTCTTAGGATATTGTTGTTTGAATGTTTACCATATTTGACCCCTGTGACCTTTAAAGCAGGTCTAGGTATTTTTAATGAGGAAACTTTATAGCACTACATCCCAGGTACTTACTGGCCACGGATTATGACCGTGGGCCTTATGAAACTTGAGAAGATTTTTGAAGCTTTTAACCAAAGTTGACATTTGAACCCCGACTAGCATTTAAAGTTGACCTTTGACCTCATTACTGTAATTGAGAAAAATATTCGCACTGCTGGTCTACATAACATACCCAAGTATCATGACTGTAGTTCAAACGGTTCTTAGGATATTGTTGTTTGAAATCTTTCACATATTTGACCACTGTGATCTTGAAAGTAGGTCAAGGTCATTTTAATGAGGAAACTTAATAGCACTCCATCCAAGGTACCTACTGGTCAAATATCATGACCATAGGTCATACAGTGCTTCAGAAGAAGTTGACGGCCGGACGACGGATGCTGCAGTACGGCATAAGCTCACATGGCCCTTCGGGCCAGGTGAGCTAAAAACTAGAAAAAGATTATGACACATTATCCAACTTTCCTCCTTAAGAGTGAATCAAGGTAATTTAACTTGACAGCCCTTCACTTAAAACAAGAGGCCCAAGGGCCTTAGCGGTCACCTGAGTTATATCATAGGTACTGGTAGCTTTATTTTATTGTTTAGATGTGATGTGGAAATCAGCATGTAAACTAAGTGAAATACAATACTTGTCATGTCATCAATGGATAAGAATTTGAAAATATTGGTAAATGTTCCCTTTGGGGCCCCGCCCTAGCCCCTGGGGATGGGGCAGGAATCC